CAAGGCTCTTCATATTTTTAGAGTTTGTGCTTTAAAATGTCAGCGAAACTAAGATGTATAAATGCATTAACCTTATAAAAAAAGCTACGTCGTCAGCACACAGCTGTCTTACTCAAATTAGTCTAAATATGAGAAGCTTTGCAAACTTTTCTCCTGAGGGAATTCTTCTTCTTTTTTTTTTAATTTTAACTTTTATTATCTATTTATTTTTAATAAACCCACCTTATTATATTTTACATTGCAAGCAAAGCTGGTTCCGCTACACTCCAGGTGTTAAACGTGGCCCACTGGCCAAAACTGGCCCACCTCACTGGATTGTTGAAAAATCATTAATTAACTCCAACGTTATCAGATCAGATCGAAATTTGTTGTATCCCAACTTGATCCATTAAGAATTAAATTCCATCGTTATTACTGGAGTCTGCACATGTTTTTTAATGTACATGCAATTGTCACAGACCCCACATTTAATCCCTGTTCTCTGTTTGGTTTGTAGTTTTATTGATGGTTCAGGGTTTGTTTATCATTTATTCCAGAGCATCATGGGTCTTCAGTGTGTTTGTGGACTCATTATATACCTCTCTGTGCTACCTCTTCTGTTACGTTCATGCATGTTATATGTTTGTCCTTATTTCAGTGCAGCTCTTATTGATTCCCTGCTTTGTTTTGATAGTGTTTATCTCTTGTGCCCCTTCTTCCTGCATGATTACCCTGAAATATGTCTCATTTCTTTCCTGATGTTTCCACTCCTCTGATTAGCAGTCTGTGTATAAATAGTCCTCCCCCCATCCTTTGTAGAGTTGTCTGCTGTTCTGCTGTGTATGTGTTCTTGTGTGGATTTTATTTGTCTTGCTTTTAGACTTCTATTTGGACTCTGCTGTTTTGTTTATTGGACTTTTAAATGGCTAGCTTTTGTTTATTGGAACTGCTCCTCTCTGTTTTGGGGTCCTCTCACTAAAGCCCCTGTGAGAGTAATGGAGAAAGATTAGACCTTGTTGAAATAGTGCTGCTTTATCTTAATCATGTATTTGTAAATGGATGGTTCAGTAAATGTTTGCTTGCTTTTACTTGTCACAAAAGCAGCTGGGATAACAGTTGAGAGTTTGGACAGTCCTCGTGCCATAAAATGGAACTGGTTCAACTGATTTTCAGTCCAGTTGTTGTGTAATTTGGCACACCTCTGCCTTTTCTTCCCTTTTCCCTCCTTTAAGAATGGCAGCCTAAGAGCTGAGACTATTTCTGATGAGGCTTTGGCAAACAGTAAACGGATCAGCGGTCCCTAGTGAAACAATTAAAAACTATTTGTTTGCTAAGTTCTCAGTGTAAACACAACACCGGTTCATCTCCTGAGTTTGATTCTGCTTGAATGACTCATAGGTCAGTGTTAAAAGAAAACAAGAGAACAAAACACAAATAAACGAAACACTCCTCTGAAAATGGTTCGGCACAAGGACTGAAAGACAAACTTTGAAAGATAAAACTTAAAGAAATCAGGGGTGGCTCAAAAAGAAGCACTTTTCTGGCTTATTTTTTATTTTGACTTGGATTTTAAAATTAGGTAATTTGTAGTTTAATGCATTTACAGATCTTTTTGTGGAATCCGACAACGAAAAAATGAAGAAAAGGAAAGTGCAGCTTCCTCTGCAAAACTGCAGCATTTTGCCAAAATGTGTTGATATAAAAAAATAAATAAAATTGGCTTTTTTTAAAAAAGGTAAATTCTCTCCTCTGGTCGCAGCAGAGCAGAGAGAGGAAACAATCTTCCTCCTCTCTTTGTTAGTGCCTTGGCCTTTTACACGAGAAGTTCTGATTAATCATTTCCACCTACACTGCGTCGAGCTTCTCAGCGGTTGCTGGGAAATGATGTTTGGAGAATGGTGAGAACGAAATGTCCAGAAGTTTATTAAATTTCCGCTGGCGAAGGAGAGACGGTAGATGCAGAAGGATGACAATATTAGGGGCAGTCGTGTGATGTGATCAAACAGTCTGTTTCCAAGAGGTGAAGAGAGCTGCAGCACTACAGAGCACTCTGTGATGGAGAGGCTGGATTTCAAAGCCTGAGTGAGGTGAGTTTATCTCCAGCTAACTTCGGACGGGGCGTATTTTATTTCTGGATGTCTTTATATGCAGAAGTTTTGTCCCACTTTCTCCATTTCTTTGACAATAAGATGTTGCAGGTAAATCTGAGTCAAATGGACTCAGATGTTTGTTACTTTTTAACAGTCAGCTTTAAAAGTCTGTGTGGTTAGAAAGTTTGGGGAGTTTCTTTCTGATTGCAAAGAAGAATTAAAAGTATTTTATTCCTCTGTAGCAGAGAGCTCACCAGTTGCTCCAGTTTTCTTTTTTTTTTGTTTCCCAGAAAAAACTGACACTTCATACACCACACTAATTCTGAAGTTCTACTTTTAAATAAGAAAAAACAAATTTGTGTCTTTAAAATGTTTTCTAGATGGTAAGGTAGCAATCAACTGATGTGCTGTCTGTGAATTTTTTCTTTTCTTTTACGTAAATTATTATTTGCAAGTGTTTGAATCTGATGTCAAAGAGCGTGTGAAGCTTTAGAGAAGATAATGTGTTGTTGTGACCGCTGCTTGCTTTGTTCTGTGTTTAAAGCCAAAGTTCAGTGCCTTTACCTGGTTGTGGCATAGAAAGAAAAGGCTGATAACTTTCTGAAAAACTTTCTTTTTTTGTGTATTTTTTTAAACATTTTAGCTTAAAAAACAAACAAATGCAAAAGACAAGAACTGACTTGTTTCCTTTACAAACAAGATAAACTGACTTATTAATATTGATGCATGGAGTTATATAAACATTCACATCTCTATGGCAGATGAAATATATTAGCTGTTTTTCTATTAAGCTTTATGTCTTTCTTTCTTTCTGATGTAAAGTTAAGAAAAATGTAAGCATGAGCTGTTTTTGAGTCTTTGGTGCTACTTGATCATAACTTGCTTTCTTCCTCCCTGCAGTGTCTGTGAGAGTGTGTCCCTAAGAAGACACCATGGCATACACTCTGTTGCTTTCTGTCTACATTATCACCTTCCTCATGGGAGTTCCCGCCAACATCCTTGCATTTGGTACCTTCTGCCGCAAGGCGTATCGCAAGCCAACTCCGATAGACATCCTCCTCCTCAACCTGACCATCTCCGACCTGATTCTCCTGGCTTTGCTGCCTTTTAAAATGAAGGAGGCCTTTGATGACATGGAGTGGTTGCTGCCCTACTCCCTCTGTCCCTTCACTGGGTTTCTCTTCTATGTCACCATCTACAACAGCACCCTGCTGCTCACCGCCGTGAGTGTGGAGCGTTACCTAGGGGTCGCCCACCCCATCAGGCATTCCCTCCATCGGCGGCCTCGTTATGCTTTGTTGGCCTGTGTCATGTTCTGGTTGCTAACGTCTCTGAACCTCATCGTCGTCTACATCATGCCTTACCTCCAGTGGAGAAACACCAATGGCAGCACTCCTGCCACACCTCCACCTAGCTGCTACCTGAATTTCTCCGATAAAGAGCTTGCAATCCTGCTGCCGTTCCGCCTCGAGCTCTTCCTCGTCCTCTTCTGCATCCCCTTCATCATCTGCTGCTTCTGCTACGTCAACCTAATCCTTATCCTGTCCCGTCTCCCAAATATCAGCAGGCGGCGGAGGCTGCGATGCATTGGTCTGGCTCTTGGCACACTGATCGTATTCTGCGTCTGTTTTGGTCCTTACAACATCTCCCATGTGGTGGGCTTTGTCAATAAGGAGAATCAGGAGTGGAGGACTGTGGCGTTGCTTTCCAGCACCTTAAATGCCTGCCTGGATCCATTTATCTTCTACTTGTCCTCGTCAGCCGTTAGAAGCATGTTAAAGCACTGCTTCAGGAACATCACAGCAAAGCTGCACATCCTGCGGTGTGAAGGGACTCGTCACCGTCCTCAACAGAAACCAGAAACTGAAAAATACAAGAAAGCGGAACCTTCTTGAATGTTCTAGAGAAATTCTGAACGTATTTATGTTATACAAAAGATATGGACAAAATGAAAAGCCAGGAAATGTTGTTCCGCTGTGAGACTTTGAGTCAGTTCCTGTTGGTGTCAGTGGTTTAATTTATTTAAGGTAAAATATTTAAAGCTGAGTTTGAGTGATATGAATTAATTTCTGTATTGTCATGTGTGTTAACTGTGTTACTGTTGATTTTATAAACTGATGTCATAAATGACCATAGTATTTCGTTACCAACTTAAATAGGACTTTAAATAAGAGCTAAAGAAAAATCTGGTTTAGTAGATTAGTTTTATCTCCTAAAAATACAGTAATTATTATTTTTTCCCCTGAATCAGGTCTTATTATGATTAAGATCTGAGAAAATGAAAACAATTAGATATAAACACAGTCTGCAAACCAAACTAGTAGAACTACACAACCAATCACAGAAATAAGAAGCTATGAAAACAAACTCTGATAAATGTTTCAAAACTCTCCAAAGGAGGATAATGTATTTTAAATGAAGTTTTGTCTTTTTTAGGTGGATAAAATGATGAAAAATTGAGTAGGAGAAATAACTGTTATTAGAAAAATGCAAAAATAAGTGTGCCAAGGACGGAGCCCTGTGGAACCCCATTTTGGATTGGTTGAGATCTGTGGACCAGCTTTTGAAAATGAAGGTTATTATTTTAATGATGAAAAAGAACACTTCTTTATCATTACACTTTAAATACAGTAATGGCTAAAAAGGTGTTTTGTTTTTTTTAGTTATTTGCTCAGGTGTAATGGTAATCTATATATGGAGGTCCAGACTGTTATAAAGTTAAAGCTTATTATCTTTTTGTTTATCTTTACTCAGAGGCTAGAGGTGCACTCCGTCTGTCTTTTGGCTATAAATGTAGCAGGAAACGGACCCTTCAGAGCACCTGCTGTATACACTGTGCTGTACTGATGTCACTCGGAGTTCAACAAGGACACTATTTAATTAAAGATAAGTGTTTTATAGAGATAAAGCAATTTAAAAACCCACGTTAGACCATATAGGCAGGAAGCGGAGAGACTGTACATTGCTGAGCTAATATGAAGTTATGAGCACAGACGGCTCGGAAGTGTAGACACAGATTAAACATGGATGTAGTGACACAGTTATAAAGTGTGTGTATTTGTGCTCTGCAGAGACTTCAGACAGTAACTGATAACCGACTTCAGGCCGTTTCCTGTCAGTAATAATGAACACCGCACTCGTGCGCAGGTGCAGAGATGCACACAGCTCATAGCCCTTTATCGTATCCAAGTATACACTGCACTCAGTGTGCACAAACAGTTTATTTGGAGCCGTCAGGCTGAATGCTGGAAGCAGGTGTGTTTGAGTACTACTTACATGGTTTTTGCCTGGATGTAGAAATACCTTAAACACGAATAATGCACTGTAAAAATACTAACATGTGTTTAAAAGAAAAATTGAAATATATTTTGAAAACATTTGCTCTGGACTGCTTTTATTACTACTTAATTACTTATGTAGTAAGATACTAGTGCATACCAAGAGCTCCGCTAGTTTATTAGTTTAGCTAGGACCGCAGCTAATGGGATTTATTTTACAGCAGCATTTTTCGATATCACAATAATAACATAGTATTTGTAATGTTTCTGCAAAGAGCAACACCTTGATTTACAAAGAAAGGGCAAGTCCATCCATATTTGGATGCAACGGCACTTTGACTGATTGCGTTTCACTTATGACCGAGGGCTCCCTTCAGTTTTTAGTCTAGCAGTCAGGTGGTGGAAGTAAAGCCATTATTGGAGAATCAGTCTCAGCTTAAAGCTGAGAAGGACAGAAGTAGCTCTCCTTAGACTCATGCTTCTCAGATTTTGCAAAAAGCCTCAGTGTGATGTTTGGAAACAAAGACTGGATGTGACACTTCCTTCCAATCACGACGGCAACACGACTTTTATACATAGAGTATTTATTCCAAAAATTAAATATGACAAATAAAAAAGGCTCAACTTAGGACCAGGATCAGGTGAGTGTTAAGACAAACTTTAAAAGTTCTTTAACATACAGTTGTACTTATTATTAATATCATAAATTAAAAAAACAGAAAAAAAAAAAGACAAAACACATTTTCAAACTCAAATATTTTTTTTCCTTCAAGAATGATATGCAGCCAACCTTCTGAGGCATCTAAAGATTCATTTATTTTGTGGGGAATCCCTTAACATGGGAGACGGGCACTCGTGGAGAAACAAAAGCTCTTTGTCCAAGTCTGTAAACGTCTGAACTTCACATTCGAAATCAAAATGAAGTTTTCAGACAGAGACACGCAAACACGGAGAAAAAGGAAGGCCGGCCAAACCGATTGCACAGAAATTTTTACAGCTGCTTCATTATTGCTGTCCATTTCAGAACGAACACACAAAACTCAAAACGCCAACCGAGGACAACATGCAGTACGCCTCACAGAAATAAATAAATATGCTACATCATGTCTACACTGAGATATTCGTTACCTACGAGTCATGAGTGCTTCCCACCCAACCCCCCCGCCCAAGTTATGATTTGTATTACTGAAAAATGTTTGGTTCTAGGTTGTGCTTGAGTGCCCGTCCAATAAACCAATCCCTGCAGGCCTTTTGGTCCTGTCAGCTCAAAACGGATAAATTCTGCAAATTTTTGTGTTCTTGGCATACATGTCAGAGGTATCCATACACACATTACAGTATTTTCAGGTATTAATATATACGTATTAATGTAGACTCTGGGCTCAGCACACTTTTTGAACATTTTTTTTCCAGCACCATCAGAAAAAGGCACAGTCTGTAACGGACAGGAAAACAACCCCCCCCCCAAAATAAAACCTCCTCTCATTAATATGCAAAAGAAAAAAAGTTTAGTATATGAATAAAAATCAAACAATGTCCTAAAGCTTCTCAGATGAGCTTTTGAGATGATAACACAAACAGAGTGTGAGGAGGGCTGAGGATTCATCTGATCGCTCTACGACAACACAAACCTTGATCGCATACATAAACCTAAATTTGGAAAGTTATCGCAGACCTCGACGTTATTAGTTATTAGGCTTCTGCTTCAAATAGGACTTTGTTAGAAAAATAAGCAATACATGCATTTCATTATTAAGTTTAAATATAAATATGGTTTTTTTTCTTTAAAAGGGGAAAAAAAGGCATCTGAAGTCCTGTGGCATCACTAGTGGAGAAGGGGGTTCCTGTAATAAGGCTGTCTAAAGGTCAACTTACAGAGACGAGCAGAGCACCAGCAAACAACGTTAAATATGCCCGCCATTACTTTTGCTATTGTTCAAGTAAAAAGCAAACAACCCCCCCCAAAACAAAAACAACCAAAACAAATGCTGGTAATGTCTGACATTAAGAAACAGCCTCGGCCAAACATAGCACTTCTCTCCCCCTTGAATTTCTGTTAAGTGCAGTAAAATATCCTTTTCGCTTTTTGTGTATAAATATACAGTATTTATGTTTATCTGCTGAAATATTAAATAAAACTCCTCTTATAGCAGCTGATTCTGGTGACACGTGGCAAGGAGAGCGTCAGCACTCACCCCGACCAGGCACATGGGTTTGGTCCAAGGGATGAAACCTGAAGGCTTCATTTGTGTTAAAGTAAACTGAAGGTTTGAGATGAGCAACAGCCTGCGTGGGGCTGGGTGTCCAACAATAGCAGCAGTGCAGAGACGTCAATGATGGACTAAAAGTTGAAAAATAAACAAATAAAGATGTCAACATCACCACCTGCAAATCCAAATAGAGAGGAAAACCCCCCAGAAAAAAAAAAAAAAAAAGATAACTCTGCTTTTGAGAAAAGTGTCGTCTTGGCACTCAAACTGCAACGATTAGTTGATTTTCAGTCGATTAGTCGATTAACTTGTCAGATACTGGTTTTTGTTGTCATTATTTCTTCTTCTTTTAAATAAACAAAGCTCTTTCCATAAATTTTTCATGTTTGTCTAGCTCAAAATAGATGGGATGCACCAGATAAATAGTGGCCCTGCATCAGTGATTATAGCTGCTGAGATCAGTTAGCAGGGCCAATAGCAGCTGATGCATTGTGCATTTTTATTTAATTTCATTATATTTCAAGGAAAACGCGTTACCGTTCTTCATCATACATGATAATGAACCACACATTTAGATTTTAGACTCTTGGGGTCCAACAAAAGAAATTTGATGCATCGCCCTCAGAGTTTACAGACTTCTGATTTATTTATTTTTTTTAAACATGCAAATGACTGAAAATAAGGCCTTTGTAGCTGCACTAATCCAAATTTGTTTGTGAAAACAAATGAGACATAACCCAGCAATAAAAAGCTGAATTTCAAAGGCTGGGACAGCGAATCCTTCTCAAACACAAAATTTATAATCTCGTTTGAGATTGTTAAATACATTTACCAAAAAATGGAAAAAAATAAGAATCAAAGCTGCTGCCTTGAGTTTGATCATTTCATTATCTGGAAAACCAGGTTGGTGAACAGTGAGTGTATTTTTGATGTTTTTAGCCGATGTAAAGGTTTTCTCTAGCAAATAAACCAAATGAAATGCATTTAGAGGTCTGGAACCAGGAGACCAAAAGCACCATTTAGAAAACATGACCAAGGAGAGCGGTCAAATATAATTACTGTTCAAATCATCTATGTGCCGAAAAAAAACAAAGAAAAAAACAAAGATTAGCTGTAAAAATCATGAAAACTATTTTTTCTGGTTAACATGATGAGTCTGTAGGACCTCAAACATTTTTCATATTCAGATCTGTGATTTAGAAAAACAAAACAAAAAACGCAGCAAACATTAGCAATCACACGTGGCTGGCGGTAGGATCATCTACAATCCAGTGTGCTGTGTGTGTTGTTAACAAATCGACTGTTTTGAGGCACCCAAACCGTTTCAAAAAGACCTTCCATCCTACCAGTTGTTCAATTTCTAAACATATCAGGCACTTTAACAGAACAAACCTCCTCAAACACAATCAGACCTCACCACGACCGAGCCTCACGTCTGAGGCATCAGTCCTACACGGTCACCAGAATGTCAAATACTGCACATTCCTGATTCCATCTTCATTGTCACTTCCCAGATCTCATTAAGAACAACACAAATACTCATGAAAACACACCTGCGCTCTCCATTTTAACACGTTATTGCACTGAAGGAGTTCTTCACAACTGAATCGGTCAGTTTTTTCTCTCTTTAAAAGTAAAAACTGGGAAAAGTCCAAAGGTTTGTGGTCATCTACACACTATTGCTGTAAATTATTATTAATTTAAGTTAAGGAAAAAGAAAAATCATAAATAGTCAGACAAACAAGAACAAAGTCCATTTCATGGCAATGACTTTGAATCTTATAGTTCTGTTTATGCACCTCGCCTCACAATAAGGCGACAAACGACAATGCCTCAAAACGGCTGTACGTGGCTCTGCTTAGAAAAATGAAGATTTCATTCAGTGTCTGTGTTGGTAGAGTGCAAAGTTATGCTGCTTACTGTCTGGCTGACAGACTGAGGAACCACACAGAACTGGCTTAAAGGGAGACAGAAGAGAAACCACTAAGGCAGCCCGCCCATTTACAAAAGGTGCCAAAGCTAACATGCTGCCACATCGATCACACACTTGCTCAGAGAAACAACACAGACAGGCTCTAGAAAGCCAAAGAACAAACATGAACATTAGGCTCAACATGAGGTTACAAAGCAGGTCAGGTCCTCTGTGATTCTACCACCAATGCACCAAAAATAATATATTTTTTGATTACTGGCTGCTCCACCATTCTTTAAAACCCCAAATAATCCCATAAAAATCAAACTGAGTGTCTGTAAAATGCAGAAGGCGAGGACACGGCTCACAGGGAGAATGAGATGGAGGTCCGGAGTACATTGGCTGGTTTCAGATTAGATAACATGGCTGGACTCCTCTAGGACATTCCTACACAGCCGCTGTCGTTGTTTGGCTTCAGCAAAGCTGCGCCAGCACAGAGTCACTCCGGATCAGGAGGAAGTTGGGCACTAAGACTGGCTGAGTAACTGGGAGGAGGAGTGAAGTGGAGGGGTGTTTAGGCGAAGTACATGGTCCTCAGTGTGTCGTGGTGGATCTGAACAGCCTTGGCCAGAGCCTGGGGGTCCCTGCCGTTACTCTGCCCTGAGACATGGCTGCCCTCCGCACTATGACAAAAAAAAGTTAATAAAAGAAATAAGTACAAGGATAACAAAGGTATACAGAGATACCTGAAATGGTTAGCCCCCAGAAAAACTATGGTACTATGATTATTTAACCCTCACTGATGCGGTTTAACCACCATATTGGAAAACAGATGCTGTAGTTGTATTAAAAGTCATATTATTGGCCTTCATCAAGCTACGAAAACTACTACAGCAAAATATTAATGCTAATTTGGATTGACTGAAACAAAAAGGTGATCATATGAAACAGTTGTTTTCGAAGGGTACAGGCAATATTAGTCATTAGAAGTTCAAGTCCTCTGGGGTTTCATGAAAAACACAAATACAAACATTAAAATATTTGGGCCCCACCTGTCATGCTCTTTGTCGACCAGGTGGTAGCGAGCGCGGAAGGCTACAAGGTGAGCATAGTAGGCAGGTGCTGGGATGGACACGGAGCGTGTGCAGCGGACGTAGGTGTGGCACAACTGGTAAGTGAGGAGCTGGAAATCGTCAGCGGTGAAACAGTTGTCATCCCACAGTACGTGGTAGTGAGAAGGACGACTGGTACCCTGGAGGGAGGAAAGCGGAGTTAATCGCACCCAGGAGAGAAAGCAGCTCCAGCGAGAGGCAGCAAACAATGAGCGGCTAAAATTAGGTGAAGCTGGTAGGCCTGTGTGTTTGACAGTAACAGGGTTCCCTTCTCCAACAGCTGCTGAGGTGTCAGTTACGCAGTAGAGTGAGCGGTGTAGTTATTAGGGAAATGCTTCAAACATGAGTGAAAGAGGCAGATTCCAGGTTTAACTGACAGGTGGCAGAAAGGAAAATTAATTCTGTTAATTAACGAGTAATGATTGATCAACATGTCACAAGCTAATTAATATAATTTTTTTTTTTTTTATTTATTTATTTTTTTATATACACAAATGAGAGACATGGTCTAAGATTGTTTCAGCTTCACTTTAAGGCAAAGTCACCTGAAAGTTTGTGTCTGTCCTTGAAATCTTACCTGGATTCCAGCGTGACTGCAGAGGTAAAAGTCAAACTCGTATGGGTGGGTGATGTCTGTGTCCACTGTGGTGCCGGCAGGAATGTTTCCACTTCGTCCCACCTTATAAGAAGAAACAACGTAACAATATACCGGTTGAAAATAATTTGAGTTTATTTATTACAAAAGCAAGTCTTTCTCAAATATGCATTGACTGGTGTCCAATTACATCTTTAAATCTCATCTTTTAAAGATCCCAAATCTATTTCAAAACTACATATGATCAATTTGTACATTTATAATTTCATCATCATCCCTCTCTGATTATGCACTCCTCCTCCCTCACACCTCCACCTCATCCTCCTCACCTCAAGCCTGATCTCCTTAACTGAAGTCGGGGCTCTAATAACCAAAAATGTGCATAAACATTCCTATTTATTTCCAGTATTATCACAATTACTTATTGCCAGCAGATTAAACATGCAACCCTCCCGTCTCCAGACACCTTACAGTGATTTGGCTAAACATCATCAGCTGGTTACACACTGTACCTTTAACTTAAAGTTGCAGGCTGTTTTTCCATCCAGCTTTCCATTAACCATTACAGACCATTGTTTCCAGATTTTAACCACATTATACAAAAACAGTAAGTTTCTAATATGACTAATTAACTAACTCACTCCTCAGAGGAATGGGACAATTGGGAGAAGTGGTAGTTTATTTCTCACCCGCTCAGTGCGATCTGCGCAGAACAGGCGTGTGTGATGGCGTTTCTGCACGACGATGTAGGTTATCCCGGGCTGGTATTCCTTCTCGAGACTGATGCATGCCTCCCTGATGGCCAGCAGCTCATAGTACAGCACCTAAACACAAAATAATACAGTACATATTCAAAAAGTAGATTTTAGAAAATCTTATTAAAATACGAGTGGGGATTAAATTACTTATTCTCTGTGTCTGATGTGCACATTACCTGTTACTAATTTTAGTTACACGTTCATGGTATAACAAATAAACAGCATTTCTTTGGTGTTATTTACCAAATAATAAACAACTTCGTGTACAAGTTAAACTGGTGTTTATGGTGCCTGAAAGAGTTTCCACCCAAAGGAAAACTAACAATAAGCCTTGAACAATATATATATATTTTTTTAAAGTACCTGTCTGAACTGGCCCTCTGACACTCCATCCCTGTAGAAAATGATCCTTGTTGGCTTGTAGCGGGTCGACTTGTAGAACTGGATTAAGAGCTCTCTCACCATAGAGGCCAAATCCTGGATGACCTCCTGTCTAGGCCTCTGGACCCGCACTGTAGCACAGTACCTGCAGGGGTGGGCATCCATACTGCCTACCACCTATAGGAGGAGTGTAGACAATTGCAAAAAAACATACAAAAAACAAAACCCTGCCATCATTTTCTGTTAAAAATTAAAAATTAATACTTTAACCTAGCCAATTAAATAGTGTCAACAGTGCAAATAATCTACAACAACATTTCTATTTATGGGGATCCGATACATTTAGGCCTGTTTTGTGACTCATCACTGCAAACATGAGCCCAAGAACAAGTACTCAAACCACTATTAACAACAACAACAACAACAACAAAGATTAATTGTTTTTTAAAGAGGTCCCCACAGTCAGCTAACTGTAGTCGCAGCTTGACCTCACAAATCTTAAATCTTGTAAGAGGAACTAACACTCAGTCTGTGAAATACTCTTTAGTGCTCTGTATTCAAGTACTGGAATTTTTAAAATAAATCCAAAGATCTACTGAGAGTCAATGTTAAGAATAAAAAATAGGAATAATGTGAGCTTGCTTAATAGAATGTGTTAATATCCTGGCTGCAGCCTTTTGTACAGCCTGGAGGTATAATAGATTTATCCAAGCCGGTAATCAGGGCATTACAGTAATCCAAGCACGATGACACCAATACATGAATAATTTTCTCCAGTTCAGCTAAGGAGGGAATATGTTGCAATTTATAAGTGTTTCTTAAACGAAAGAAACCGGAAAGGGAAAAAGATGTTTCCTGACGAGACGACTCACCGCTGCAATAGATGGCTTCTTTCCATCTCCTGCAGGAGGATGAGTGACATCAGCCCCAAGGAAGATGATAGGTTGCTGAAACACAGTGGGTCTGGAAG